GCCTGTCCAGAAAGGCAAAAAAATGCTCAGTGGTTGAGCATTTGCTTAACATATATGAGGCCCTGGCTTGGATCCTCAGCACTGCCAAATGGAGAGGAAAAAGGCGGGGATGGAGGGTGGGGGATGAAAAGCAGATGGACAAATTGTAATTAACCTAGAGTAGAGAAAGCTAAATGAAGCCCAAGTGCTGGAGAGAGGAACAGACTGACTGAGAAGCAAGCTGACTGACACTGCAGGGCTTAGCATGGATAAGGGGTAGGTAGGGCTGGAAGACAGGAACAGAACAGAACAGAGCAGGTCTGGCAGAGCAGCTATTTGGTTTAAGTGCCTGCCACACCACAAGGGGCCACCTCTCTTCACCCATGTGGAGCACAGTGGGACCATGTAAGGCGCTGCAGTCAACAGGGGGTGCTGAGCCCTCAGCCTCTTCTCCTGCTGAGCACACACAATGCTTTCTTTTGTTCTTCAGACAGACTCCTCCAGGGAGAACAGCGACACAAGAACTTTTTAAAAAGCAAGCAAAGGAACAAGGATAAGGCCCTGAGGTAATCTTTGGACATCTGAAGACACCTGCTTCCTACCTCATCTCCCTGCAGAGAGCCCTACCACCTGCCCATGGTGTTTAGAGAGGTTTCTTCTTCACAGAGAGCCATGACCTCAGTCCCTGGAGGAAATCTGGAAGATAGGGATCCACATAAGAAAAATGATCTCAAAGACACAGGATAACGCAAAGGAAAGAAAGAGCTTGGAATCAATGTTCCAAGCTAGGAGTTAAGAAACAAGACAGGGGCCAGTGAGATAGCTCAGTGGACTAAAGTGCCTGCTTAGGCAAATGCAGGGACCCTGGTTTGATCCCCAGCACCGTAAGCTGTGCCAGCCCCAGGACACACTGAGCCAGCCGGAGTCTGGGCATAGTGGCGCATGCCTGTAATCCCAGCGCTGGGGAGGCTGAAAGCAGGAGGATCACGAGTGTGCTGCATGAGACCCTGTACCAACTACACTGAAAGCAAGCAAGCAATGTAAAGAACAGAAACTAAGGGATTGGGGAGATGGCTCAGTGGAATAAGAGCTTCCCTGGCAAGTGCAAGGGCCTGAGTTCAATCCCTGGTTCCGCCTAAAAAAAAAAAAAAAAAGAAAAGAAACTATTAAAATAATAGTTGAAATTTTTAAAAATAAGGAAAATTTCTGAAAATGAACATAGTTACAATTTCAGAAAACCTGAGAGGCAGGTTGCAAATTAAAGGTGAAGCCTCTGGAGAGATAGCTCAGCTGCATAAGCGCCTGCTTGGCAAGCACAAGGTCCAGAGTTCAATGCCCAGTACTGCAAAAATAAATAAATAAATAGGTTATATATATACATATAAAGCCTTGATGGCTCCAGTGGTACATGCCTGTAATCCCAGGTATTCAGGAAGCTGAGGGAGGAGAATCACAAGTTTACAGCAGCTTGGGGGCCTGCCCACTAGCTCAGTTGTATAAGTGCCTGCTTAAGCAAAGGCAGTCAGGCTCAGGATACTGTGGTTTAATCCCCAGATCCTCATGCCTTACCAGACCTGCCCTTAAGGCATCCTGTGCCAGCCCCCCTCCCTCCAAAAAAAGAGCAGCCTGGACAACTTACTGAGACCCTGCCTTAAAATAAAAGATAGGGCTGGCCAAATACCTCAGTGGACTAAAGCGCCTACTTAGGCAGGAGCAAGGACCAGGGTTTGATCCTCAATGTGCCACCGTGCCAGCCCCACCCCGGGACACGCTGAGACAGTGACTGAGACTGGGCATGGTGGTGCATGCCTGTAATCCCAGCACTTGGGAGGCCAAAAACAGGAGGATCACTGTAAGTCCGATCTATGTAGTGAGACCCTGTAGACCCTGTACTAAATACATAAAAAAAGATAAGAATGGGTAGAGATGTCGTTTAGTAGTAGAGAATTCCTAGGTTCAACCCCCAGTATTATAAACAAACAAACCAACAAATAAAACCAAAAGGAGGATAAGGCCAAAAGAGAATCCACATAGCAGATCTAATACTATTTAACAGGGTCAAGGACAATGCAAGAAAATTTATCTCTACAAAAAAACATAAACATCTAGATTAGAAGGGCTTTCCAAGGTGCTAAAAAAATTCTGTATCTTAATCTGAACAGTGATTACATAGGGTATATACTTGTAAATTTGTTTAACCATTCATTTCAGGTTAGTGTAGCCTATACATTTTATCACACATACTCTAAAATTCAATATAAGAAAAGGAAATGGAATGCTGCATGCTTGTGCTGGAAAATAATATGGGTGTATATCAAAGAACACACCAGAACAGGAGTACTTCCATGATTTCTGGTCATCTAATTCCACTTCTCCTAAAATACTAAGGATGGCATTTTCCACATCAGTGAATGCTGGGAAATCTAACAATTGGGCCCCATTTATTCCAGGGCACTAAGAGTATTTTATGGGTCATTATTATAGCTACACAATGCCAAGTATATGTTAAGCCTCTATTTGTTTAGGTTAAACAATAACATAAAAAGGAGGGGAGAGGGGACCTTGGAGTATACAGACACAGATCCATAGACCAAAGCAATCACAATAAAAATTTTCCAAACTCTAGGGATAAAGATAGTATTCTAACACTTCCAAAAAGAAAACAGGTCACAAAGAGGCTAGAATCAGAATGGCACAGGACCTCTCCATAATAACCCTGAGAAAAAACACCCCCAAACACAGATTCAACCCAATAATTGTTCTGTAAGTATATTGGAAAGAGGGAAAAGGTCAGGTAGGTATGTAAGGACCTACACAGCACAGCAAAAGTGCCAGACCCTCATCTTCTGTTCTCAGAAGTCAATTTATAATGGCTGACTCCAAATACAGTGACAGATATATACAGCATTTGGAAAAATGGAGAGGTGGCTGGATCTAGAATATGTGATGTTGGGATTAAAGATGTGTGGTTACTAAATTAGTCCACTGATTGGTTTGGCATAGATCTGGCTGTGGAAAAGGGAAGGCCCACCTCTGGCTGAGTGCTACCCACACTAAGAGCACGCTGCCTGCACAGCGTAACGGGCAGAGGGAAGGCCGCTGTGCTCACTCACTGGCTGCTGCTTTTGCTGCCTCCTGCCTTCCGCCTTTCGTGCCATGAACTGCTTATTCTCTTCTCTGATGCACCTCTGCCACACTACCTTGCCTTGAAACCGGCAGATTATGGACTGAAACCTCTACAAATCCTGACCTGAAATGAACCTTTCTTCTTTTAACTTTAGGTGATGGGTATTTTGTCTTAGCAATGAGAAAATAAAAAGGTGAGGTAGAGGTTGCTGTTTTGCAACAAAAACCTAGAACTGCTACTCAACTTTTAAACTATGTATAGGTATTTCCTTGATTTTTAAAAAGTGCTACATTCAGGGCCAGAGAGATAACCCAGCAGCATAAGCACCTGCCTGGCAAGTGCAAGGTCCTGAGTTCGATCCCTGGTACCACAAAAATAAATAAGTAAAAAATTAGTAAATAAATAAAAAGTGCTACAGCCAGGCATGGTGACACATACTTATAATCCCAGCCCTTGGGAAGCTGAGGCAAGAGGATTGCTGCAAGTTTGAGACCAGCCTGGGATACACAGTGAATTGAAGTCTAGCCTGAACTATATAGCAACACCTTGTCTCAAGAAAAAGAAAGAGAAAAAGAAAAAAGTGCTTCAAAAAATGAGTAGGGGAAAAAATAGGAAATTAATAATATAATATCCCCAAACCCACTGAAATTATACACCTTAAATGAGTGAAGCCTATGTATTTTAATTGCATGTCAACAAAGCGTTTGTTAAACAAAGAAGTAACTGGAAAACTACAGTCAAAGAACAGAAATGCCAATATTTCCTTATCTATATACACAGTATGAGACAAGAAAATATGTCAATTAATATCTCTGGCAAGGTAGTCATAGTTAAGAGAAAACTTCACTTTTCATTGTATATTCTTCTGAATTATTTAAATATTTGCCATTTACATGTGCTTTTCAAAAAGGGTAAATTAGCTGGGCGTGGTGACACACCCATAATCCCACCAGTGGGGAAACTGACAGGATAACTGCTCTAAATTCAAGGCCAGTCTGAACTACATAGCAGGACCCTATCTTGACACTCCTCTCAAAAAAAATTAAAACAATTTCAAAATAAAACAGCACAACTAAAATAAAAAACTTTCACTGATTTGCAAATGGGTCCATAAACTAAGTTAAATGAAAATCAAAAACACTATGAGGGGCTGGTGAGATGGCTCAGTGGTCTAAAGCACCTACTTAGAACAAACTAAAAGCAAAGGGACC